TTCTGTTTTAAAGGGTTTGAGGGATTCCCTTTTAAGGTCGCTGCCTATAGTTACTTAGCGCTATCTCACTCCTCTTTTTTACCATTAGTTCTTCAAATTCCCTTTTTGGGATAGCTGCTTTTTAACTTTCTAAAAAAATGTCTATCTTTGAATTCAGAAATAAATATACAATTGATGTTAATAATGTATTTAATACAGAGGCAATCAATTCTATACAAATAACTCCCCATTACTCTAACCAACAAGATCTATTTATGAAATTAGAAAGAGCCTTAACTACAGAGATTAAACTTAAATGGGAAATTGCCACTTTTAAAAAATACATAGACGAACAAATTACTCCTCGGGGTTTAAGACTTCTTAAATTGCCCACCTCTGACCAAGATGATCTTGAGTTCATGGAAGAATGGAATAGTAAACTAGAACTATGTACTTTTGGCTTAATGGAGACACTAATAATCAAAAAAAGCAAAAAACTATCTATTTTAGATATTGAAATAAATGATCTCCGAGAGAAACTCTTACCATTTACTGAAACTAAGGCTTATAAACAAAATTCCGTACTAATTCAGAATAAAATTGAAAAAGTTGAAGTCGACCAAAAACATTTGAAAATTAAAAAATATATTAGAGACAAAACTGATTATTCTAGTAAACAAGTAAGAACTTATCACTTTAAAAAAAAGTACACTTCAGAAAATTATCCTCCCAGACCTAATTATCAAAACCATGTGTATAATGATTCTCATCCTCACAATAATGTAACATACCAACCACCTTCCAAATATCGTAATTTTGCCACACGAAGACCCTATCACCAATCCCCGTCCACAATAAGACCACAATATACGTCCTCTCACCAAAATCACGCCCCTTCTAAATCACCTTATCAAAATAAAAGGAATATATATCCACTACCCTCATACAAACAAAGAAAATTTCCCCACGCTAATTATAACTCTATACCTCAATCACCTAAATATCAAAATTCCTCTGGTTTCCATTTCTCACCAAAACCACAAAGATCCAGGTACACAAACGAACACAATGAGTATGCCAATTACTCAAAATCACCCACTATTCCCAACCATACCAACAGATACCAACTATTATCAGTCGACTCTGATTTTGATAACGAGGATCATTTTTTAGAGATACGCACTCACCAACCTGCGCTAGCCCAGACACCATACCCATCACGCTCCCAAAAAAGAACTTTAAACCTAGAGGAAGACGAAGCGGAAGAAGGGAACAAAAGAGAAAGATTGGAAAGACAATAACACCCTCTACTAATTCTTATAATGGCATTTTTAATTTATCCCAAAAAGTTTTATCAGCTGCACAACTATCCGTTTTAAGCAAAGGTCTCAAATTTGCCCCCACTTCTTCTTTTAATTCATTTCAAGCCTTTCTCGATGTAAACAAATTTGTTAGAAAGGCCACACTGAAAAGATTTTTTATGAGTAAAAACGATGAAGAACCTGTCCCATCTATTTCACCCTCCCTTTCAGAGACACCCAATTTTTTAAACACAAATCTTAGAGAAAAATCTAAATTTTATCCATCCCATTTTAAATCAGCTCCTTTGGTTTTATTTGAAAAACTTGTTGTTAAAGATCTAGAAAAAATTAAATACAAAAAATATGACCCCAATAACCTCACAAATTGTGAAAGACAAGCTATTAAAGAACTCCAAAAAGATCGAGATATTGTCATAAAACCAGCTGACAAGGGGGGAGGAGTAGTTATTCAGTCTAGTAAAATGTATATAGATGAAGCTCATAAGCAATTAAAAGACCGAAATGTTTACGAACAACTTCCAATCGATCCGATTAAAAATATCCAAACTATTTTACTTAATTTCCTTAACAAAGGTCTAGATTTAAAAATTTTAAATAAGCATGAATATAACTTTCTAAACAAAGAATATCCAATTACCCCTGTCATCTACTTTCTTCCCAAAATTCATAAAAATGAACAATACCCCCCAGGAAGACCAATCGTTTCTGGGATAGGCTCACTTTTAAGTAATCTTTCCCAATATATAGATACCCTTCTCCAACCTTCGGTTAAACTTATGAAATCATATTTAAAAGACTCCATGTCACTTTTAAAATTTTTAAATGATTTTACTTGGAATAAGAATTTTATATTAGTCACATGTGATGTCCAGTCCCTTTACACCATTATCCCCCATGACATTGGTTGTCAAGCTGTAAAAGAAATTTTAACCCAAGAAGCTAGGATTCCTAACATTCAAATTGATTTTATAATAGAAGGTATCAATATTATTTTAAATAACAATTATTTTTGGTTTTTGGATTCTTTTTATTTGCAAAAAAGAGGTACAGCTATGGGGACTAGGTTTGCCCCTAGTTATGCCAATCTGTTTATGGCTGATTGGGAAAACGAAGCCATATGGGGCAATCATACCTGGCGGGCAAACCTAGTCTCCTATTTTAGATATATAGATGACCTCTTTTTTATCTGGGATGGACCTGAAAAATCTCTTATGGATTTTATTAATCATTTAAATACCAACAATAGGGGTATTATTCTTACACACGAATTTAGTAAACAAACAATCAACTTTTTAGATCTAAGTATTTTTATTAATAATGGACTACTCCAAACAAAAACTTTCTTTAAAAAAGTATGTGTAAACACGGCTATAGACAGATCTAGTTGTCACTATAAGCCGTGGCTAGAGAGTGCTCCGAAAAGTCAGTTTCTACGCCTCCGTAGAAACTGCTCAGAACTCACAGATTTTAATGAACAAGCAGAGTTTTTAAAAAATAAATTTATTGAAAAAAAATATTCAGAACAAGATCTGAATACCACAATCAACACAGTCAAACAAAAAGAACGAAAAGAACTCTTGGTATATAAAAATAAAGAAAACAATGAAACTATATCACTTCCAGTTATTTTTAATTTCAATAATAAAAGTAATGACGTCAAAAAAATAATAAGAAAACATTGGCACATACTTAAACATGATGAGATACTTAATTCTATTATACCTACTCATCCAAATATTGTTTTTAGAGGAGCACCAAATTTTAAATCTATCTTAACCACAAATTTTACTAAAAAATCTCCTCCAAAAAATCTATCATTTTTTCCTCAGACGAAAGGTTTTTTTAGATGTAAACAATGCATTGTATGTAAAACTGTGGATCATGTCATCTTACCAAAAATTACAAAATTTATGTCAAATCAAACCAAAAAAGTGTATGATATTTATGACTTCATAAGCTGCCACACGAAAAATGTTATTTATCTGCTCGAATGCCCATGTGGCCTCCAATATGTGGGGATGACCACAAGGTGCCTAAAGATAAGACTGAGCGAACATTGCAGAAATATTAGAAATGGATACCTAAACCACACAGTATCCAAACATTTTATTATGCACAATAAAGATCCCCGTCTATTAAAATGTATTGGTATAAAAAAATGTTCCACCTCCTGGCGGGGAGGTGATATAAAAAAACTACTTGGAAAAACAGAGATGGAATGGGTGTATAAACTTCAGACTCTTATACCCCATGGCCTCAATGCAGACTTTGACTTATATAATTTTCTATGAATCTTAAGTTATCTGGTGTCTGTACCTTTAACTATGGTTTTATTACTATTCTCTTTTACCAGTTTAACTTTTATTATTATATTTTATCCATCTGTTCCTTTAAATTGCATCTTAATATAAGATAGATTTTATCTTTATTTAGCTCCTTTTATCTTTTGTGTATTTACCATGTTCCCATTCAACTACATTTCCCAATAAGCATTTCGGCTATGCTAGCCGAAAAACCATGTGACCATTTTTTTAATATCTAAATTAGAGAGCCAGCCCCTTCGTTTTGTTTTAAAAAAAACTTATATGGAATTGTGCTGCAATAAAGTGGCCCCAAAAGAAAAAAGAACTAAGTTTTGAACGGCCGCCATTCGCGGCATATACACCAACTACATTTCCCACAAATCATTGCGGCAGCACCTCCGAAATGCGGAAGTGCCGCCGGTCACGTGATTCTTTTAAATCTTTTAAAACTTTTAAAATTACCCTTTCCCACCCTCGTTTTTGATTTTAAAGTACTGTAATCAAGCTGCATTGTTATAAAGTTTAAGCTTATTATGTTATTTTCGAAATTTAAAGTTGTATATATGCTCTTATTGTTGATTGGCTGAACTAAGTTTTGGCGCCAAATTTCAACTAATTGTGCTCCTATATAACATCTATGTGCCAGGTAAACTATGTTATTCCATTTGAAAAAGTCCTTTTGTGACGAAACGCGTTATGGATATTTAAATATTGTGTTTTTATATATATTAAAGTATTATTGGTCATTTGTTTTTGCCAATTATCTTTTTTATAAGACACATACTCTTCTCATTTACCCTGGCCCTTTTATTGTTATTTTAAATACCTTCTTTTTTTAACTGGTTTTAAAAAAACCTTAAAAATTCCTGGAAGTTTCCTGTACCCAAAGAAATCCGTAGGTGGGGATCAATCCACCCAAGCTGTCACCAAAGAGCAGTGTGTCTGCTCCTACTTTGTAAGTACATTTCTTTTATTATTTAATTATTATTCGCCATACAGTGAGCACTATTGGCTGTTTGTTTTATCCCGAGAATTGGATACCACTCACGGAGAGGAACCTGCCCTATATCCCATAAGCGGGGATTAAACCGCTGTACGCGCTTAACTCCTAGAGCTGGACAATAGCTCTGGTAAATGTGAGTTTTTTACTATTATAATTTTTATCTCTAAGACTTGAATTCTACATACTACACCATTGGATGTCCCCTTGTCTTCTCTTTTTTATCTTTTATTAAGTGAAATCATCACAAAAATAGAAGACCTCACCAAACAAGGACATCAGTAAGAAAAAACCATTTGGACTTATTTTATTTTATTTTACTCTAATTGGACTTTATTTATCTTTTGTGCGCAGCCTTTTATTGTTTCCACGTGGGTGGTAACCTTGTGGGGAAATGTGTATAAAAGCAGCAATAAATCCTCAGTGCAGTCAGTTCTTCTTCACCCTCCATCTAGAGTCTTGTCTCTTATTGGGGTAACAGCTATACAGCCATCATACTTGCTCTTCTAAGAGCTCCTTCACTTGGATGACTACTGGATGCTGAGAATACCCCTCATTCATCGGGAGAAGGACGTCCTCCACTGGTGGAAACCCCTCTGCTCACCGGGGTAAGCGCTACATAACCCTTCATATTACTCCATATAACCCTCCCTATAACTCTTCCTGTTAATCCATATAACCCCTCCTATTACTCCATATAACCCTCCCTATAACATACAGTTCCTGCTTCACTCTCTTGGAGGAGAGGTTCACCCACTGGAACCTAGAGCCTTGTCGTAATGGGGTGGGTAGGAGACGGCGAGACCCCAACCAAGCTGCGGCGGTTCATGGGGTTTCCGGTGGTTGTGGTGTCTGGCGGGGCGCTTGGAGCCCTCTGTAAGCGCTAGGAGCATTCTTCAACTGAGGTACCCAGTGGGGGTGCCAGGTGATCCGTTACACACCCCAAAACTCAAACATATTCCCATAAATTATACATCCCTGGATGGCTCTGATCTGGGTGAATATCCAAAAATCACCCAGATCAGAGCACGGGGTCAAAGGTTTTGTGGAAGTCACATTTGACCGACCGCATGCATGCACATTTTCATGCCCAAAACAGTTCCAGAGAATTAGGCTGTGCGGCCGGTCTATTTCCATTACTAAGATCTGTTTGAATGCACAAACGGGGGCCGTTCGTGCAAATAGTCAAAGTTAAAGTGACGTTCGAATTGTCAAACGCATTTCGATTCCCGTCAAAGTGTCGAAGTCCCGGAGAAGGTAAAGGTCAGCGGTGTTCGTGCCATTGCGTGTCCGATTTGAGGTCCATGAACTCGACGACAAAACACTGCTGAACACGTTCGTCTAAACAAGATGGCCGCCGCCATGTGTTCAACTATACAAATGGCGGCCACTTTGACCAGTTCTACACTTCGGCTGTTTCCGAAGTGCCACTTCAAAAGTGCAGATCCTTTCCAATAGAACTTAAAGGGGCAGAAACAGTGTTTTAGAATCCAATATGCTCAAATAATGGTTTTAAAGGGCAATCCGTCCCAGGGGCCATAGTCACAGGGCAAGAGGCTGGCAAGCAGGCCTCTCCAAAACCCAGTGGTGATGTGCGGTTCATCACATAACCCTTCATATTACTCCATATAACCCTCCCTATAATCCCTCCTATTACTCCATATAACCCGCCCTATAACATACATATTTAATTCATTTTTTACCACAAGGGACCATATTTGAAGCAACAAACTTCATATTATTATTATTGCCATTTATATAGCGCCAACAGATTCCATAGTGCTTTACAATATTATGAGAGGGGGGATGTAACTATAAATAGGACAATTACAAGAAAACCTACAGGAACGATATGTTGAAGAGGACCCTGTTTAAACGAGCTTACAGTCTTTAGGAGGTGGGGTGAAAAACACATTAGGACAGGGAATAGCAATCAAATAAGGTGGGAGTGACGCAGAGCTGGAGGAGAGAGTAAAGTGCTGCGCCTTTAGGAGAGAGCAAGAGACAGGTATGTAAGGTAGAAAAGGCCATAAGCTTTCCTAAAGAGATGGGAATTAAGGCACTTCTTAAACGATTGAAGACTAGAGGAGAGTCTGATGGTGGTAGGCAGGCTATTCCATAGGAAGGGAGCCGCCTGCAAGATGTCCTGCAAGCGTGAGTTTGCCGTACGCGTTTGAGCAGCGGACAGGAGAAGATCATGGGCAGAGCAGAGAGACCAAGAAGGTACCTATCGATCTGTGAAGAAATATCAGGGGCTAGAATTGTTTAATTCTTTATAGGTATGGGTTAGCACTTTGAATTGACTCCTATAGGATACAGGAAGCCAATATCTGATTACAGTTGTTCTTATAATACTTTCAACCATTCAGGGCCGGACTGGCCCACCGGGATACCGGGAAATTTCCTGGTGGGCCGCAGCAAGCGCATGCGCATTCAGCAGATGATGTCGGAAGGAGGAGGAGAGTCCCCAGCGCCGAGGGAGCCCGGCGCTGGATAAAGGTGAGTGTTTAACCACCTTCCTACCCCTTCAGCCCGGCGGGATGGGGACCATGAGGGTGGGGCACCCTCAGGGCACTATAGTGCCAGAAAAACGAGTTTGTTTTCCTGCCACTATAGTGGTCCTTTAAATGGGTGTGGTAAGCCAACCATCTCACGATACAGAAAATATCTCCATTCACAACAGCAGCAAAAACACACAAAAATACATAATTCCCATTACACTGAACAGAACATTCAACCTATCCCTCTAAAAGTTCCTTCTTGTATCCTTTTTCACTAAAATCATTAATAATTCTAATGGATTGTACCCTGAATTTCTCATTTTCAGTGCAATTCCGTTTAATCCGTAAAAGTTGTGCCTTAGGGGCATTTAGCAGCCAGGGTGAAAAATGGCAGCTATTTTCACATATATAGCTATTTACATCTACTTTTTTGAAAAAAGTGCAAGTTTTCAGTGTACTTCCTTCTATGTATACATTAAGATCCAGGAATTCAACCGAAGTTTTACTCAAATTACTATTAAGGTGGATACCCCAATCATTAGTGTTCAAATGATTTAAAAAACAATTCAGTGAATCTTCGTCTCCTCTCCAAATAAAGAATATATCGTCAATGTAACGGCGATAGGTAACGAGGCCCGCGGACCACCTGTCATCGTCATGGATAAACTCTTGTTCCCAGAGTGCCATAAACAGATTGGCATAACTGGGCGCGAACCTCGTTCCCATCGCCGTCCCACATATTTGAAGATAAAATTGCTCCTCGAACCAGAAATAATTGTTCTTGAGGATCCATTTTATGCCCTCAATTATAAAATTAATTTGTTTGTCAGAAAAGGCAGAAATTTTAAATAACTATTTTCATTCCGTTTATATTAATGAGGATCCTATGGCAAGCGATATGCTTTAAAGAAAGAACAGCACTAAGAGAATTAAGAGAAGACCAAACTATAGTGATTAAACCGGAGGACAAGGGAGTAGGTATAGTCATCCTTGACATCGAGGAATATGTAAAAGAATCTTTAAAACTACTAAATGATTGCAATACATACCAAATCTTACCGAAAGACCCTACAAAGGACATTACCATTAGCTACAACACTCTTATTGAAAAAGGCAAAACATTAGAAGTTCTAAATCAGCGGGAATATAAATTCCTCAATGTACAACACCTGAAAATTCCGGTATTCTACTACCTCCCGAAGATACATAAAGATAGAGATAGACCACCCGGGAGACCTATTGTCTCAGGGATTGGATCTATCTCTAGCAAATTATTTCAGTATATTGATAAATGTCTACAAACAATTGTAAGCACTAGTCCCAGTTATCTACGTGACACTATTCATGTATATACAAATTCTACATGACATCACATGGGATGATAACTACTATCTTGTGACAGTCGATGTCAGTTCTTTCTATATACGATAATTTCTCACAGCATGGGCTGCAGAGCTACCAAATTTTTTTTAGAAAATTCACAGAAATTTTCTGACAAACAAATTAATTTTATAATTGAGGGCATAAAATGGATGGGAAATGCAGCAGCTACTGGTAAATTTCTAAATAAAATTAGATCCCAATAAAATTACATTAATTGAATATTTATTTACAGTGTGTGTATAGAATGAATGCAGTTTGTGTTTGTGTGTTGTGTGTGTATATAATGAATGCAGAGTGTGTGTTTGTGTGTTGTGTGTGTATATAATGAATGCAGAGTGTGTGTCTGTGTGTGTATAGAGTGAATGCAGAGTGTGTGTGTGTTTGTGTGTGTGTATATAATGAATGCAGAGTGTGTGTTTGTGTGTTGTGTGTGTATATAATGAATGCAGAGTGTGTGTTTGTGTGTGTATAGAATGAATGCAGAGTGTGTGTTTGTGTGTTGTGTGTGTATATAATGAATGCAGTGTGTATATAATGCAGTGTGTGTGTTTGTGCAGTGTGTGTAAACTGGGTGAGGGGAGGGCATTTTTATTTTAATTTTTTTATTTTAATATTTTATTATTTTAATAATATTTTATTGTTATATTATTATTATTTTAATATTATATTATTTTTAATAATATTATTATTTAAATATTTGCATTATTTGCTTGTTGCCTGGTCAGGGAGGGGGGACAAAAAAACATTTAAAAAAAAATAATGCAAATATTAAAATAATAATAACATAATAATAAAATAATATTATTAAAATAATATAATTTTAAAATAATAATAAAATATTATTATTTTAATAATATTATTTTAATAATTATATTATTATTTTAATATTTGCATTATTTTTTTTTTATAAATTTTGTCCTCCCTCCCTGCTTGTTGCCTGGTCAGGGAGGGGGGACAAAAAAACATTTAAAAAAAATAATGCAAATATTAAAATAATAATAATTTAATAATAAAATAATATTATTAAAATAATATAATACTAAAATAATAATAATATAATAATATTATTATTTAAATATTATATTTTAATAATATTATTTTATTATTATATTATTATTATTTTAATATTTGCATTATTTTTTTTAAATGTTTTTTTGTCCCCCCTCCCTGACCAGGCAACAAGCAGGGAGGGGGGACAAAAAATGTTTTAAAAAAAATAAGGCAAATATTAAAATAATAATAATAATATAATAATAAAATAATATTATTTTAATATTATATTATCTTAATAATATTAAATCCCTGGTGGTCCAGTGGCATTGGCAGTTCAGTGGGGGGGCTGACAGCGAGCTGTTACTTACCTTTCCTGCAGCTCCTGTCAGCTCCCTTCTCCTCCGTGCAGCTCCCCGTTCAGCTCCGTTCTGCTCACAGTGTAAGTCTCGCGAGGAGAAGGGAGCTGACAGGAGCTGCAGGAAAGGTAAGTAACAGCTCGCTGTCAGCCCCCAACAGGACCACCGGGCTTGTAATGAGCCCGGCGGTCCTGGTCTGTATTGTGGCAATCTAAGTTGCCACAATACAGACTGGCTCGAGTACAAAAAAAATGTGCCGAAAAAATTGGCTTATACTCGAGTATATACGGTATATATATATTTATATAAATTATAATTTTCTTTATTAACTGTCAGTTCAGGCAGTTCCCCTGCAGGCAGATACTTGGAACCTATTAGCGGGGTTCTAAATCGCTGAGGGGAGACTGTCTGGGCTGTCTCCCCACACCGGGAGCAACGCCGATCGCCGCCGAGGTAGGTAAATAAATAACGTTATGACGGTTCAGGGTCGTCATTGGCCCTCAAGGTTTTTTTTCCGATGACCGTCAATGGTCGTTAAGGATGTGTTTCTTGTTATATCGCATCAAAGAAAGAGGAAGAGATACGGGGGAGGGGCCTTTTATACCCTGTTGCAATATGTTTTTTTCATTAAACTTTATTGTTAAATCTTTGCTGCTGGAGTTTCGTAAAGAGATTTTAAAGCTAAATATTTGCCTCCTGTCCTTCATAAAATTTAGATTATAGGTACACTGCTAGGTAACCTCCACCTCTAGTTACTGTATACTCCCAGTAATGTGTCTGAGTGTATAACAGAGCTCCACAGCAATAATACTCCCAGTTATGTGTCTGAGTGTATAACAGAGCTCCACAGCAATAATACTCCCAGTAATGTGTCTGAGTGTATAACAGAGCTCCACAGTAATAATACTCCCAGTAATGTGTCCGAGTGTATAACAGAGCTCCACAGCAATAATACTCCCAGTAATGTGTCTGAGTGTATAACAGAGCTCCACAGCAATAATACTCCCAGTAATGTGTCTGAGTGTATAACAGAGCTCCACAGCAATAATACTCCCAGTAATGTGTCTGAGTGTATAACAGAGCTCCACAGCAATAATACTCCCAGTAATGTGTCTGAGTGTATAACAGAGCTCCACAGCAATAATACTCCCAGCAATGTGTCTGAGTGTATAACAGAGCTCCACAGCAATAATACTCCCAGTAATGTGTCTGAGTGTATAACAGAGCTCCACGGTAATAATACTCCCAGTAATGTGTCTGAGTGTATAACAGAGCTCCACAGCAATAATACTCCCAGTAATGTGTCTGAGTATATAACAGAGCTCCACAGTAATAATACTCCCAGTAATGTACCTGAGTGTATAACAGAGCTCCACAGCAATAATACTCACAGTAATGTGTCTGAGTGTATAACAGAGCTCCACAGCAATAATACTCCCAGTAATGTGTCTGAGTGTATAACAGAGCTCCACAGCAATAATACTCCCAGTAATGTGTCTGAGTGTATAACAGAGCTCCCAGCAATAATATTCCCAGTAATGTGTCTGAGTGTATAACAGAGCTCCACAGCAATAATACTCCCAGTAATGTGTCTGAGTGTATAACAGAGCTCCCAGCAATAATATTCCCAGTAATGTGTCTGAGTGTATAACAGAGCTCCACAGCAATAATACTCCCAGTAATGTGTCTGAGTGTATAACAGAGCCCCACAGCAATAATACTCCCAGTAATGTGTCTGAGTGTATAACAAAGCTCTACAGCAATAATACTCCCAATAATGTGTCTGAGTGTATAACAGAGCTCCACAGTAATAATACTCCCAGTAATGTGTCTGAGTGTATAACAGAGCTCCACAGCAATAATACTCCCAGTAATGTGTATGCGTGTATAACAGAGCTCCACAGTAATAATGCTCCCAGTAATGTATCTGAGTGTATAACAGAGCTCCACAGCAATAATACTCCCAGTAATGTGTCTGAGTGTATAACAGAGCCCCACAGCAATAATACTCCCAGTAATGTGAGTGTATAACAGAGCTCCACAGCAATAATACTCCCAGTAATGTGTCTGAGTGTATAACAGAGCTCCACAGCAATAATACTCCCATTAATGTGTCTGAGTGTATAACAGAGCTCCACAGTAATAATACTCCCAGTAATGTGTCTGAGTGTATAACAGAGCTCCACAGCAATAATACTTCCAGTAATGTGTGAGTGTATAACAGAGCACCACAGCAATAATACTCCCAGTAAAGTGTCTGAGTGTATAACAGAGCTCCACAGCAATAATACTCCCAGTAATGTGCCTGAGTGTATAACAGAGCTCCACAGCAATAATACTC